ATATATATATAGATATATAAGATAGCCGTGAACAATGTTAAATTATATATATAAATCATCAAAGAAAGGTAAATACAGTACTGTAAAGTTTTAAAATAAAGGACATGATACATGGTGTAGCACGGTTCTCAACGAATGCTGGCCTATAAATAAATATACCTGTGCAGTAAAATTCCACTAACAGCATTCGAATCTGCGACCTTTCGCTGTCAAGGCGAGCGTCATAACCACTAGACCACAGAGGCTTCATGGTTGAACATGAAACCAATGTGTAATAGAGTGTATGACACTCTTATACAATAACATTTGTCATCATCTCATTAAAATTGTAGTCAAAATGAAGCACCAACAAATTTCTCATAATCTGTTATCAGCAATTCTCAGCAATCACAGAGAATGATATGTGTGATGTAGGCCTACCATAGAAAATAAAAATTAAAAACATTGTTTTTGATGTAATTACTTTAATTTACCTACTTCAAAGATGTGACTCCACACCCATCTTAGCCCCACCATGGCTAGGCCTGGTGCCCGAAAATTTTGGTCGCCAGAAACTCTTATATTATCATCATCACATCGTAATTATAGTCAAAATGAAGTGCCACCAAATTTCTCATGATCTTGTATCAGGAATTTTTGGCCAACCATAGAGTTCTAATTAATGTCTGATGTACTGTAGCATAGAAAAAAAAACTGAAAAAGATTGTCTTTGATTTAGGCCCTATTTACTTTACCTACTTTAAAGCTACGAGTCCACAACCACCTTAACCCCACCATGGTTGGGGTGAGGTGCGAAAATTTGAGAAAACAGCATCTCAGGCTAGCCGGAAATGACACTCTTAAAGTATATATAGTAAACGTCATCATCATAACATCCTCATGATCACTATGATTTTGGTTATCATAGTGATCTAATTAATCTCTGTATTGTACTTTACTTACCTACTTCGTGTGCCAAAATCTTATACTTTTTCTCAAATTATAACAAAAACCTGCGCACTTGAGTCGTGTATTATAGGTAATTTAGATTTTAGTGATATCGGTATCTTGTTATAGCCTACTGTAATATAACATCCCCCCCTCCCACAACCTTTTTGGCAGAAAATATATGTCTATGCGGATTTTTGTATGATCGGCTCCCTCAAAATTCATATTCCCATTCATCTTAATAGTGGGGGCCCCCACTTTTAATAACGTTCCTCCGGCCCTGTATAAGATGTACAGTATGTTAAGGCATTACCTTTACTTATGAAATTACATTGCAGTCAAAAAATGGGGGGAACCAACCCCCCCTTAAAAATATGTGGGGGAGTGTCCCCTCGTCCCCCCCCCCACCATGATCTGCGCCCATGTGCAAGCAGTTAAAAATCACTTTATACCACCTCATTTTGCCAGTTACCCCCTCACTTAATCATGGAGCCCTCCTTATAAAAGACACCCTAACCCCATTTCAATACTACCAAATGTAGAACTGCTATGGATATGATGATGGACATGAAAAAAAAGAAGCTCTTAGAATCTGCAACTTCATTTACTTCAATACTTTATTGGTACGAAAAAGGGCTTTACACAATGCAACAAAATTATTATATATACCGTACAACAACCAACATGTAATCAGATGAACCACGCCATACATCATATTTATAAGGTACAAATAACATATTCATCGATCCTTCAATTTAACTCAAAAGGATCGTATCAATTTACAAACTATTCATCATGTAAGAAAGATATATATCCACAGACCACAGACAAGAATTTACACACCAACAACTGACATTGTTACTGCCATCCACCATAAGAATGGCTGAATAAAGTGTTGTCTATGTTAACAAAAATCACTCCATAAAAAAACCCCATTAAATCATAGACGTATTGTAATGGAG